GTCTTTTCTTTATCAGGGGAAACGGAAAATGACCAAGTAAAATGAAGTATGAAAATATGTGGAGTGACGTCACGGTAGACCACCATGACAATCTAAAAGGGTTGTCGGCAGTGTGAAACAAGAATACGAGATACAGAAAGGTTGTGGAGTGACGTCACGGTAGACCACCATGACAATCTAGAAGGGTTGTCGGCAGTGTGAAACAAGAATACGAGATACAGAAAGGTTGTGGAGTGACGTCACGGTAGACCACCATGACAATCTAGAAGGGTTGTCAGCAGTGTGAAACAAGAATATGAGATACAGAATTAAATTAAAATCCCATGAGTTAAATAGCGTTGTTCTTTCGTTGGGCTATTTTAAATTATTTTTTAGTGGCAATAATTCAAGTCCAGTCTGCAAATTAGTTTGTTATTTCTCAACTTTTCTTCACTTGTACACAGTTGTAACTTGTAGTCCTAAGTTTACAAATGACGTTTCAACGAAAATACCTCACTAATGGTACTTTGACTAAAGTAGAAATAAATTTGCTTGCACAGTTTCACAGCTATTCAGTCGAGTAACTGAATATCCACTATATACAACACTGATCCAAATACTTGTCACTTCTTTGAACAGACTGAAAAAACTGTTATTTAATGCTTCATTGATTCTCGTATTTATAATCTACTCTCGTCTCACGATACTCCTGCATTACTAAATCCTTAACCTCAAACTTAAAACATTTTATGTATTATAGGCCTACTTGTACAATATCTCCGATCTTAACATTATGCCTCCCCTAGCTAATATCTAAATTAAAGCATTGAAAATATAGCTAACAACAGTATTGAAATATCTAAAGTTTATACCATTTCTATTAGCAGGTGTCTGTTCTCGAACAGACTACACAAAACTCCAGGGTTTAAATCCTTCCTATGTAAATGTCCATCCTCGAATATAACGGACCGTACTATACAACAAGGTTTATATCCGTCCCAAGTAAGACTAAGAGGCAGTCCGTGAATATAAAAAACTGTATTAAACACCAAGGTTTACACCTTTCCTAAGTAAATGTCCGTCCTCGAATATGACAGACCGTACTATACAACAAGGTTTACACCCTTTCTAAGTAGGGGATAGTCGTTGAATGTAGCATACCTTACTAAACACCAAGGTTTACACCCTTCCTAAGTAAATGTCCGTTCTTAATATACACAAAATATACTAAACTCCTGAAGGTTTTTGCAACGACGTTGAAATGGGCATCGAATCGTTCTTTTTTGTGATCCCGATATTATACTTGCTTAAAAGTTCTATGGTTTAAAGAAAAAAATTAATGTACTCTCCAAAACATTGAATATATTATATCTTAAACTTTTTAAAAACTAAAATTAACAGAATGTCATTGAATTCGTTACGTCGCGAAAGTTGCTCTAGAATTTCCAGTGTTTTTCATCCTCCCACCAATTTTTTATAGTACTTATTCACTGCAACTGGGTCCACGAATTTGTTAGTTACAAGATTCTTAATAACATGAGTCAAACCAAAAATATCATAGATATTGGAGTTTATATAAATCAGACAATTAGTTTTTTCATCGTTTTTCTTTTTGTCGGTTTTTACGCGGAGTGTTATAACAGACAAAAACATAAAATTACTCTCAAAATGCAATATGTGGGCATCACCAGTGAAACAAGTCGGTTTGTAAGATAAATAACACAGACTTACCTATATGTGGACATCACCACCAGTGAAAGAAGTCGGTTTGTAAGATAAATAACACAGACTTACCTATATGTGGACATCACCACCAATGAAACAAGTCGGTTTGTAAGATAAATAACACAGACTTACCTATATGTGGACATCACCACCAGTGACAGAAGTCGGTTTGGATGATAAATAACACAGACTTACCTATATGTGGACATCACCACCAGTGAAAGAAATCGGTTTGTAAGATAAATAACACAGACTTACCTATATGTGGACATCACCAGCAGTGAAAGAAGTCGGTTTGTAAGATAAATAACATAGACTTACCTATATATGGACATCACCAGCAGTGAAAGAAGTCGGTTTGGAGGATAAATAACACAGACTTACCTATATGTGGACATCACCACCAGTGAAAGAAATCGGTTTGTAAGATAAATAACACAGACCTACTTATATGTGGACCTCAACAGTAGTGAAAGAAGTCGGTTTGGAGGATAAATAACACAGACTTACCTATATGTGGACATCACCACCAGTGACAGAAGTCGGTTTGGATGATAAATAACACAGACTTACCTATATGTGGACATCACCACCAGTGAAAGAAATCGGTTTGTAAGATAAATAACACAGACTTACCTATATGTGGACATCACCACCAATGAAACAAGTCGGTTTGTAAGATAAATAACATAGACTTACCTATATGTGGACATCACCAGCAGTGAAAGAAGTCGGTTTGGAGGATTATTAACACAGACTTACTTATATGTGGACATCACCACCAGTGAAAGAAATCGGTTTGTAAGATAAATAACACAGACCTACTTATATGTGGACCTCAACAGTAGTGAAAGAAGTCGGTTTGGAGGATAAATAACACAGACTTACCTATATGTGGACATCACCTCCAGTGAAAGAAA